GGAACAAGATGAAGGGGTCCATCCAAGAGGGACCGAGCGTGGCGCAGAGTACATCCATCTGCCCGGCGTGTTCAATGCTTGGCCGCGGAAGAAAGTCCATCAAAAGAGGGTTTGGAAAAGTATTATCCACCATAGAAGGGAGACCGGCCAGTTCATCAGCTCGGCTGTTGTCTTCCCGGCCAATTTGTTGGACTCTAATTGCCTCTGATTGCCTCAAACTGCTTGATATGCTCCCTGACCAGAGCTTGGTACTTCGCCATCCTTTCATCCTTTGCTTCATAAATCCCAGAAACTTGGTTAACCACAAGCTGGGAATCACTGTACACCAGGAGCTCGGCAGCCTTCATTTGAATTGCGCTCTTGAGCCCGACGAGAAGTGCCTCGTACTCAGCCTCGTTGTTAGATGCCGGGAAGCCAAGCATGATAGAATGTTCAATGGTCAAGCCATCCGGGGATATAAGAACAATACCTAGGCCAGCACCATGGCGGTTGGATGCTCCATCGACGAAAAGCTTCCACATGTCCCCCACAAAAAGCTTCCAGCAGTCGGATGGGTCCTGAGAGTTGCGAAGGGCAATGGGATCACAACTGCTCGGCTGTGCGGTGTCAAGTTTGGTGTTGACCGGTTCAAATTCAGTGCCTCTTGGTGATTCGACACCGGACTCAGCAAGTTGTTCTGTAATGCTCAAGTCCGTGGGCGAATCATCAGGTTGCGGTGTGAAGCCGGCCGCAGGTTCTGAGCTGTGTGGAACCATTCTTTCCCCCCTTGATGATTCGGCACCGGACTCAATAAGTTGGTTCGGAATGCCCAAGTCTGTAGGCGAATCATCAGGTTCTGAGCGGTGTGGTTCAATTTCTTCCGCCCTTGGTGATGCGGGACCGGACAGAGTGGATAGGCTAGTGATACACAACTCCGTCATCGCATCACCGGGTGATATGACCGTGCAAACTGAGGGAACTTCGATGGTGCGCGCTAACTCCGCGGCGTTACCTCCTCCAACTGGTTGTACCTCGGTTGGCATTGCGTGCATCTCATCATCTGCCTCGGTAATGTCGACCGGGCATACCGGATGAATGCCAGGTGAGAACTCGACGACAAAATCTGCCAAGGTCTGGGCTTTGATTGCGGTGCGCGGCTGGAACTTCACATCGAACTGTCCCAACTCGACCGCCCACTTAAGAATTCGGCCTGAAAAGTCCGCCTGTTCAAACAAGGCCTTGAGGGAAAACTCAGTCAGTACGACAATGGTATGGGCGTGGAAATAGTGCGCCAATTTTCTTGAAGCCATCATCAAGGCCAGGGCAAGCTTCTCCAACGGCAAGTATCTCGACTCTGCCGAC